CGCAAACTGCAGGCTCAGAGGCCTGCAAGGCAGGCCAGGAACGTTGGTTTCCTCCGTCACTCAAGCAAGCAAGCCTTATATGCTAGTTTAGCTGCCTGGCTGACAGTTAATTTGCATATCTCGCTGATTAGCCAATGGGAAGGGTAGCGGTCGTACGCCAGTTACCATGTTTCTCTTTTATTAGTGTAGATAATTGATTCTGATGTTTACTGTGTTTTTAAACAGTGATAAGAATAGGTTAACTACAAAATTGAGGTGAAGGTACAGAGATTTCCCAGATATCCACCGCCCCACACAGTATCAACATCCCGTAGTACAGCAGTTTTCAACCTGTGGATTGTGACCCCTTTGGGGGTCGAATGACCCTTTCACAGGGGTCACCTAAGACCATTGGAAAACATATATAATTACATACTGTTTTTGTGATTAATCACTGTGCTTTAATTATGTTCAATTTGTAACAATGAAAATATATCCTGTATATCTGATATTTTTACATCACGATTCGTAACAGTAGCAAAATTACAGTTATGAAGTAGCAACGAAAATAATTTTATGGTTGGGGGTCACCACAACATGAGGAACTATATGGAACGTCGTGGCATTAGGAAGGTTGAGAACCACTGCCCTAGCAGAATGAAACATTTACAATTGATAATCTGTATTGATATATCATCATCATTATATGGTCATGGCTGAGTTAATAGTTCACACATAATGTACATTCTATGGGTTTTGGCAAATGTATAATGATATTTATACTAATAAAAGGGTAATATGGCAATTAGACTGGCCGATTGGACGTCTTCCAGATGTCTGACTTCCTTCTGGACAAAGCCATGGTGGCAGGGGCTGAGGCAGAGGTGGTTAGGGGTGATCAGACTGACAGGAGAGCAAGCAGTTAGGTGTGAGATAAGACCAGTGAGGGGGAGCAAGCAGTGAGAGGGCGATCAGGCTGGCAGGTGAGCGGTTCGGAGCCAGCGGTCCTGGATTGTGAGAGGGATGTTTACTGCCAGTTTAGGCCCAGTCCCAGCAGTTGGACATCCCCTGAGCGGTCCCAGATTGCAAGGGGCTGCAGGCCGGGCTGAGGGACACACCCCTTGCCCATGCAAGAATTTCATGCACCAGGCTCCAAGTCCTATCTAATAATAGACAAACATGGTAATTAACCGTACCTCCGATACACTTCCCATTGGCTAATCAGGGCAATATGCAAATTAACTGCCAACCAAGATGGCGGCCAGCAGCCACACAGCTGAACAGGAGGCTTGCTTGCTCCTGTGATGGAGGAATCCAAGGTTCTCCGCCTGCCACCGACCAGCTCTGAGCTTCACTATAAGCAACTATGTTGCAATTATAAAAGCTAAAC